TCTCATTACTGGATGGTTCCTTCGACTTCTGGTATTGCCAGCATAGCTTGTGCCACAGCGGTTGGAAGTTCCGCAGCCGTTATAGCAAAAAACTCAATAACTCTACAACATTTCCGTCCAATGAAGCAGCAGCAGTGATGTTTAACGGAGCAAGGATTCACACCAACAGCAGCAGCAGCACGCAAAACATCTCCCACAACCCCAAATAGTACCGCCTCAACAGCTCAACTAATCTCACCGCCATTATCGCCTTTAATCCAAACGGGTTGGATCAATTGACTCAGATACCGAATCATTTACAATGCCGGCCAAATCTCATCAACCCATACCGGTTATAGTGACAACCACAAAACGGCTCAATAATGGATGTAAGTGCCAACAGGGTTCGTATAAATAATTCAATACTTTCCTAATTCTGACTAATCAAATCCTTTGCATTTTTCTTCAGGAAAATCGTTATTCCATTCTGGGCAAGGATATAACAACAAATGAATTTGATATTTATACATTGCCATCGCCGCCCAAAGATGCCATCCACACATCCATAGATAATTTGAATAGTTCGTCTGGTACGACAGCATCGCAAATATCACCATCAGGATCTCCAATACATAAAGAGTCATTATACAACAGCAATAACAAATGAATCTCACACGAATCACCATTCACAGCCACAATTACAACAACAGCAGCAGGAGCAAAATGGTTCTGTAAATAGTTCACCAGTTAAAAAGAAACATCATCATCGAAATCACATAATAATCAGGTAAGGTTCGAGAAAGTGGGATGTGCATTAGGTTTTTGAAAACTTGAAAACTTTATTTAGGTCTTAAAAGGATATATTATACCTCAGCCATATGGCTAGATAGGGTATACATATAAGCTTCTTGGGTACTCAAAATGTTGACCCTTGTGGGGAATTTAGCAGAACAAGTGGACCGATATATCCCATCTTTACACCCGACATTGGGTTAATAAAAATATTGTGATGTGTGTAATTTGAAGAGAACCGGATGCTTATTTCGGATTTGGTTATTCAAAACTTTGACCCTTTGTGGGGGAGGAACCACAAGAAATGGTCCAATCTCCACCATCTTTTTAACAGATCTTGTGTTGATGGAATATTGAGACGTGCCAATTCTGAATGGAATCGGATGTTAAATTCGTGTTTTATGAGCTTCATAAATATATTGAGATCCTTTGTGGGGGAGGTACCAGTAGGAGTAGACCGATATATTCCATCTTCACATCAGATCTTTTTGGTAGAAATATTGCGATGTGCGAATTTGAAGAGAACCGAATGCTTATTTCGGATTTTATGATCGTTTTGGTTATTCAAAATTTGACCCTTTGTGGGGAAGGTACCAAAAGGAATGTTCTGATCTCTAACATCTTTTTAACAGATCTTGTGTTGATGGAAATTTGTTAGATGTACCAAGTCTGAATGAAATCGGATGTTAATTTCGTGTTTTATGACCTCCATGAATAATCAAAATTTTGACACTTTGTGGGGGAGTTAACAGAAGGAGTCGATTGAAATATTCCATCTTAACACCAGACCTTGGCTTAATAATAAATATTGAGATGTGTGTAATTTGAAGACTATCTGTCTCTTACATCACATTTATAAAAGTTATAATTATTCAAAATTTTCGACCTTTGTGGGGGAGGTTCTTGATGGTGTGGACCGATATTGTCCATTTTCGCACCTGATCTAGCATAATGCAAATATTAGTATTTAAAAAGCTAAAGCAAAATCGGACTATCCTTTCTCTTTCTGTGCAGTAAAGAATTTTCTTTAAAATGTCGACATTTTGTGGGGAGTGGACCGATATTGCCCATCTCGGAACTCGATCTAAGTTTGACAATAATATTACGATGTACTAAGTTTGGATCAAACCGAATACTCCCTTCGAGACTTATCGTGCGCACCAGCCAACCAGACAGACGGACGGACATCGCTAGATCGACTCCAAATGTCCTGTAACGGATTTGGTCCTAAGAGACCTAGGGTCTGAAACCGTAAGGCACATTTGGCCGGGTCAAAAGATATATACCATCTCTAGACATATGGCTGGGGGTATAAAAAGATTTGCTTATATATTTGGATACGAACTATGATTTCTTCTGGCCTTTAATTCGAAATAAATTCAAGCTTCTAAAGAAGTGGACTTCCAAGATATTATACAGGGTGGAATAAAACAATGCAAGAAAGTCTGACGCCATAATTTTTACATTTTTTAAATGTAATTGAATGGAACAAAAAATGTCGGAAATGCCATCAATTTTTAGAATAAGTTTAGATTCGAAGAAGTTCAAATTGGTCACTTCTAGCACGAATTATGGCTTCGAACAGCCAATGAAACCGTCACACGCTGCCCGAATGTTTCTCTGCGGTATTTTGGCCCATTTCCCGCAAAGCGCTTGCTTGAGGTGATCGACACTTTGGTATTTTTTAGTACCAACATGCTTTCCAAAATACTCCAAACACAATAGTCCAATGGATTGGTATTCGGAGATTCGGGAAATGAAGCGAGGAACCTCATTTTGTAACCATTCTATGGTAGTGCGATGGTGCTGAGTCCTCTTGGAATGTCCAATGTCTGCGGCCAAAGTGTTTGCGTTCCCAAGCCATTAATACACCCTCCAGAATATCTTCGCGATAATATTCGGAGTTTATTCTGATGCCATGGTCGATTTACTACGATATGAGCGGAGAACGACCATCGTCTGTTATGACGCCTCACGCCATCACCATGGCCGGCGCTTGACTGTCTGGTGGCCAACCGAAGGTGCACATTTCAGCTCTGATCTCTTGGGCAGTAAACACGATCATTTTGTTTGTTTACAAACTGCGGACAACGAATGTTTTCTCATCGGAGAAAACCAAATTCGGCAGTTCACCACTTTCGGCCAAGCGAAGCAACTATTTAGCTCTTTTGAGTCTATTTTCTTTCTGTTGCGGTAAAGGTTCTTGCACTTTTGGAATTTCAGTGACTTTAGCGCGGGCTCATTTTTCAATATTTGCCGAATGGATTATTGCAATATGTTTAGCCCACGAGCCATTTTTCGGCCACTGCGACGGAGGTTTCGATCAAGTTTCTCCTGTACTTTTCGAACCATTTCTGCTGATGTTGCTGTTTTCTTCCGTCCACTTTCTTGACGTCGGGCTACATTACCTGTATCACGGTAACGAGCGGTACGAGACACAAAAGATTTATTCACATTTAAATGCTGGAGTGCTCTAACAATAGCCACTTGTGGTTTCCAGCCAAATATAAAGAAATCATACTATCACGCTTGAATTCCATCACGAATATTTTTTTTTTTTTTGTGGAAAATTCTCACCAAAATGCTTTTGTACGATTGTAAACAATATAATGAGCTGTCACTTGAATAATTTTAAAAGCTGTCGGACGAGTGGCTTAGAAAAGACAGCAGTCTGAAATTGGTTGCAGTTTTTTCTCATCTCACCCTGTATACCCTCTGTAGCCATATGGCTGAGGGTATAAAAAGATTTGTTTATAAATCTGGTGTTAAATTCGAAATTTAAAATAAATTCAAGCTTCCAAAAAGGTACCTTCCAAGCCATTATACACACCAAATATGCCTGATAAGACGCTTAACCAACGGCGAAACGCGCCGCATAGCGGCGAGTGTGTGCCTCTTTTCACTGCAAATTTCAAAATCTCAAGAAAAGAGAAGAAATTTTTAAATCCTAAATCCAGTGGGCCAATTTATTCTGCTCCCTGTACCATGAAAAGCTTGAGCTAAGCTTATAGTTATAAATATTCTTACTTGGATTTTGAATTCTTGTTTGGTCTATAAAATACTTGATTGGAAAATATGTGAAATATGTTAAGAATTTAATATTTTATGATCTGTTAATCCTCAAAAATTTACCATATTTTTAAATGTGATAATAAAACTATTATCGAAGATTAATTAATAAATTATAATAATATTTTATTACATAAGAAGAGGTAAAGAAACATTTAAACAATAAAAAAACTAACCGACAGCCTATAAACACCCCAATGTTAATCTGATTAACGCCTGTTTTTCTCCGTTTCGTTTTTTTTTTCTTTCTGCCTCTTCACAGGGTGATGTTAATTCCATTGAAAGTATAACCGAAGATACGACAAGCGAGAAAATTCCAAGCGGTGATTTAGATTGGGTCGATTCAGCATTACAGAGTCGTAACGACCGCGAAATCTTAACCAAGTCAAAAACAAAGAAAAAGAAGAACAAACTCTCCAAAGGTAAAGGTCTCGACCAGTTGGATGGTGTGCCGTCCGCCAACAAGGAGGAGAATAAAAATGAAACACCCGAAGAAGATGAGAAAGTGGTCAAGTGTTTGTATTATACCCTGATTTGTTGTGATTGTTCGCTACAATAGATAATAGGCAAAGAAACAAAACAGAAAGTAATTGAAAAACAAAAATAACAAAAATGCATTTATATTTAAAGCAGAAAATCCATTTTTTACAAAAAACAATAAAAATATGTTTTGATTTTGATAATAATTTTATTTATATATAAAATATATATATGTATACATTTTTTTATAAAGACTTGTAATTTAATATCATTGAAGAGACAATTATAATAATAACAACTATGAAAAATGAAATGACTGAAAAAAACTTTATAAAAGCATATAATACAAATGAAATTGAAATCAAAACTATTTAAGAAATTTGAATATACTTAACAAAAAAATAACGAATATATAATATACAAGATATATAAAATGTAATTTGATAAGAAGAAAAAGAGATATCAAGTATTTCACAATATTCCACTAATAAAACGAAACATGCCAATCAATATTCTATTTTTTTATATACAGAAATATGCCATTTTTATTAGATTTTTTTTTTTAATACAAAACAAACACGGTATAGCAATTGAGAAATGTGTAAACTTTTAAAATGACCGAATCCAAAATGTAAAGTAATTGATAACAATTAATTTTTGTATAACGATTTTAATGTCCATTTAAATGCCAATTTAAATTGAGACTTTGTATTGGATACATGCTCTCTCCAGAACCTGCTAGAATGTGAAAATGTTACTACGACAACCAACCGATATTCCCCTTTTAATATCGAAAATAAATCCAAAATTAGCAGCTTCTTATAGGATCAACATAATATCTTATGCTTATTTAATCTGAATCAAAAATTTAAAAACCCAGACCTTTGCCACAAAAAAATATGAAATTGTTGGGACAAAGTCCTTTTTAATAAGGTCACACAAGAGGTGAAGTTAGACCCTTAGTCTACTCTTGTTGCCAAAAGTATTTTAGCGAGAAATCGGTGAAAATAGATGGACGCGCTAAAAACTGTTTTCACGGTGTAAACCTGTACTTTCGTCAAAATTTAAGGTTTATCATAAATTTTAATAAAAAAACATTGCGCTTTGACAGCAATAGAAGCGAGTAGCTAGAACTACCGTGTCACCTTGTAAGGATACCTAGATTGGGGCCATAATATCACTTTTTGCTCTAAACACATGAAAAACACTGCCTAACTTTCTATCGCGGAACTCAAAATTTTAAACATTTGAAACATGTCCAAGGTTTGACTTGAAAAAACTATCATCGAAAAATTTAAAAAAAATGAGTAAAACAAGTAAGCAAAGGCTATAGACGTGCATGGCCGACCATGTGATACTCTACAACATATTAGAAGTCCTCTTATGTCCAAATCCATTTTGGAAGATTTCGCTTTTGAAATTATGTCACCGAGCACTGCCCAGATATTGCCCTTAGCATTTTGACCAGTGAAAAAATAATACAAAATCTATTTTATCATCATTAATGGCGTCTTTTTATGCGATTTTTTTAGATTTTATTCTTTTATGCCAAGAGGGCATTCTGAATTGAAAAAAATTGTCAACATCGGTCCAGCCATTCTTGAGATTAAAGCATTCTACCTAACAACCTCGTCTTTTGTATATACACATTGTATATAATTCGCTATACATATATCCGATATATTTACTATGGCATTTACGTAACGGTCAGAATTGACCTTTTCGTCTGTTTGTGATTTCGCCGGGATTAAAAATATTCGTGGTTTAATGAAAAATTTGACTTTTAATTAACCCAAATTTTATGATCTATTTCACCCACTAAATATTACCCGATGACCACCAAAATTGGAAGGTTTCTGCCCAGCCCTAAGCTCTAGTCCCATTCTAACTTCAATTGGTTTATAATTGCGAACTGTAGAGCAATTGCAAAAACAGGAAATTTTCAGGTTTTTGGTCCATTTCAACCCCTAAATATTATGCGATCATCTCCAAAAGCAATAGACTTCTATATTGGCCCTAGCCCCACCTCCATTCTAAATTTCGTGAAGATCGGGCCATAATTGCGACCTGTAGAGTGATTATTCATGTTCGCCCGTCCGTCCGTCCCTCTGTCCGTCCGTCTGTCCATGTATTTGTGTAAACAAAGTACAGGTCGCATTTATTGCCGCCGATCCAGATGAAATTTTTCATTTTTTTTTTGGCCCAAGGACGAACCCTATTGAAATGGAAGATAATCGGTCAAAATTTCGATATAGCTCCCATATATATCTTCGTCCGATTTGCCTTTTATTGTGCATCAAACTTTAATATCAGCGCCAATGGTGATGGAATTTTGCATATACGACCAAATTACGCCTGGAAATAAGTATGACAATTGGCTCGAAATCGGTTCAGATATAGCTATAGCTCCCTCTCATATTGTGCACCAAAGTGTAATATCAGCCCAAATGGGATGGAATTTGGTACTTACGACGAAATTGAGTCTAGAAATAAGTGTGACAAATTTGGTGAAAATCGGTTCAGATATAGCTATAGCTCCCTTATATATTGTTCATCCGATTGATATTTTTTTATTTTTTTTTTTGTTTGAAGCTCTGCTAATGAAACTCTGTTGTTACATGAATATGTTGTTATCATAAAATGGGCCCCGCCCGACATTTAGACTTTTTTTACAGTTGTATTTTTTATTTTTTTTTTTTTTTTTGAGTTAAATTCAAAATTTTTGAAAACACATTTGAAATGGTAGTTTCCTTTCGCTTCCGTCGTACAAAATACATGGCCAATTCTCCTATGAAATGTGAAATAAAAATAAAGAAAATGAAGAATGAAATAAAGAAAATGTTTTTTCATTTCATGTTTTCGTAGAACAAGAATACTCCCATTGCCCTAAACGAAACTTACATAGGGTCAGACAGATAAACTACTTTTGCACAATTGTTATTTGACTTCCTTCCATTCAATTTCGAATCACAATTTGGTCTTTCGACAGCAAAATTGGTTGTCAGATGGGCTTACTGGCCGACCTTACATAGGACATGGCCCCCAATTTTTGGAAAATATTGTTCAGTAGTCTATAAAATTAAAATTCTGAAAGTGTCATTTTAAAAGTTAAAGAAGATTCTTTGTAGCACCGTGTTAATTGAATGAAACCCATAATTCCTAAAGAAAAAAGATAAAATATTTTCTAGTATTAAAGAAAAGAAGAAATAGCACACAATTTATGAAATATTTACACAACAATAAACTAATATTTTTATACGTATAAAACAACAATAACTACTTAATAACTGAATAAATAAACTACTAGCACAAACTAAAACTAAAGAAACTGACCTTTTTATACATATAAAGCTTAGGGGAAATGAAATAAACACAGTTTTTAAATCAAAAATTATTGATATATTGAAATGTAAAATACAATGAAATATAATAAAAGATATGAAGTATTTAATATGATAAGCAAATAAAATGTAATAAAATATATTATTAAATTCCTAAAATTATAAAAAATATATATAAAAAGTATATTATTATATTTATATCCTTTTTTATGTTACACATTTAATAATCGGCCCTATTACGGTTGGCGTTCTCGTCGCAAATAAAGTCGAGGTGACAATAACGGTATTAGGGTTGTCGTTTTTTGTCGATATCGATGAATGATTGCTATTACCATTGTCGATGCAAAAGTCGACGGGAAGTCGTTTTAAAAGAATATCTGTCGCCGTAAAAATTGTGACTGAATTGTATTTTTAGTCGACGTCGACGATATTTTAACAATTTTGAATTTGACATTTGATTGGCAATAACAACAGCAAAACAATTTGGAAATATTGAAGTCATTTCCGACACTGCTCTACTATGATCCTAGCTCTGAAAACATTAATGCTGTGGCCAATTGAAACAACTTTAGTTTGGTAAAAACTCTTTGATTTTTTCGAAAGATTTTCCAGAGGTAGGTATTTTTAACGATTCCCAGATTTTTGACTTGAAAGTCTGGGTTCAAGACCCGGATCCACTTTCGCCGATATAGGCAATATATAACAACTCTAATTTAGTAAAAACTCTTCGATTTTTTCGAAAGATTTTCCAGAGGTAGATATTTTTACCCTGATTCCGAGGAACTATACTGTGATTCCCAGATTTTTGACTTGAAAGTCCGGGTTCAAGACCCGGATCCACTTTTGCCGATATAGGCAATATAGGTATTGTTTGAACGCTATCCAACAAGTGGTTACATGATGGCTACTTACAACAACTGTTAAATTTAGAAAACTTTAGTTCGCGTAGCCACTTGAACATACCAGAGGAGAACATCTCTGGACTCTGAAAAGGTATTAGCAAAATTGTACTATTTTGAAGTGTAAGAGTTCAGCTATAATTTGCCATCAATTTTGTTGGGCCCTTTTTCGATTTTTTGCTGGTTTTATAAAAATTCGGGTCTACAAATCGATAATTGATCATAACTTCGGAACCGCATTAAATAACCCCATCAAGCGACCATTTTTTGGATAGGTATTTTCATAAGCAATACCTATATTGTATATATTGGGTAAGTGGATCCGGATCCAAAAAAATACTTTTCCGGAATCAGGGTAAAAATACCTACCACTGGAAAATATTTCAAAAAATTGAAGAGTTTTTTCTAAACTAGAGTTAGAGTCTTGAACCTGGAATTTCGGCTCAAAATCTGGGGTCCCGGGTCCGTCATCCAAAAAAAAAAAAGAGTTGCCCAATCAGTGTAGAAATACCTACCACTGGAAAATATTTCAAAAAAATGAAGAGTTTTTACTAAACAAGAGTGAGAGTCTTGAACCCGATCAAAAATCAGGGGTTCCGGGTTCGTCCTTCAAAACAAAAAATACGTTCCCGGAATCAGAGTAAAATTACCTTCCACTGGAATATATTTCAAAAAATTGAAGAATTTTTTCCTAAACTAGAGTTAGAATCTTGAACCCGGACTTTCTGGTCAAAAATCTGAAGTGCCGGGTCCGTCCTAAAAAAAATCTGGGAAAATATACCTACCACTGGAAAATATTTCAAAAAATTGAAGAGTTTTTTTCTAGACGAGTTAGAATC